GAAGGAAGGAAGGAAGGAAGGAAGGAAGGAAGGAAGGAAGGAAGGAAGGAAGGAAGGAAGGAAGGAAGGAAGGAAGGAAGGAAATCCAGCCAAGACCCATTGATGCTCATTAATTTCTCCTGGTTTTGCACCTGCACTGGAGAGGAAAGGAACCTCTGGCTGTGGGGAGCTGGTCCATCCCAATTTTCCAGACATTGCTGGGCTCAAACAGGACAGCCCGGGCCAGCCCACCTGCCTTAAGGTGCCTCCTTCACTGGTTTATTTCATAAACACAAAAATTCACTCACACACTCTTTATTCACACATGGAAATCCACACTCCTTTCATTATTGAAACCATCATTAAAAATGCTTCCCTTTAAAATTTGTAGCCTTTTTAAAGTTTTCACTATTGAACCACAAGCAGAGGATTATGGCTGGATTAAAGCCCCTTTTTGGGTGCATTTTGGTTGATTTTCGTGGCTGCCCAGGCATGTTCAGCCTGCAGTTCCAAGGAATGATTCCTGCAGCACAAGGAGTTGCTTTCTGCATTTTTCCCAGGGTTTGGATTGAACTGATTCATCTGTCCCTCCCTTTATTTAGGTGTTTTCACAAGGGAGAGCTACATTTTGTTTTCTTCAAAATCCCAGACCCTTTTTTAACCTCTTCCACTGAAATATTTTATTCAGCTTGGTAAAAATGAATTTTAGAGCTAATTCTGGCACATCCAAAGATTGATTTAATTTATAAAGATGTGGTAGCCTTGTCTGCTTCCCAAAGAAAAGAAGTTTTCCTGTGGCATCCCTATGAGCTTCTCCAGGCTGCAGCGACAGAAAAGACCCTGCAAAAGGAATTTGAAGCAGATTTCAGCCCTGTGGAGACAAACCAGAGAATTGAACCATCAGGAAGAGTTGCCACCTATCAGTAAACTCGTAATTTTTTTAAGGCAAACTACCCTGATTTGTAGAAAGCAGCTTGGGCCCTCTTTTCTGGAATCAAATCCTCACAAAGAACAGCTTTGCTGAGCGTGCTTGGAGGGAGATGTAGGTGGTCTAGAAGGATCTCAGCTCTTGATTATTGATGGATTAATTACCAGCACTGCTGTCCCTCCCTCGCTTTCCCTTCCCTGGGGTGGGAGTGAATCCCAGCTGGGGTGGGGACATTGGGTGACAGTGGCCAGGCAGTGCTGGCACTCCCAACCCCAAAAATTGCTCCCTCAAGGCCTGATCCCCAATTCCCTGCAGGGACAGCAGAATCCCCAGGAGTTTTCCAGTTTTCCATGAGTTTTCCATGAGTTTTCCGTGAGTAGGAAGTGCAGGAATGAGCTTCAAACACCTCGGCCCAGCTCCACATGGGTGGTCTGCTGTGCCTGGAAGGATTCCCACTGGTTCCAGCAGCATTCCGAGCCAAGGAAAGGCTCTTCCCAAGCCCCATCGCAGCACCAGAGCTCCAAATTTTATTTTTTTGGATGTCTCCAAGTGAAAAGGTGAAGCCTCACCGCAGCATTTATCGTGATACGATGCAGATATTAAATCCAAATTTGGGAATCGCTCAGAGCCGGAGGGGGAACTGAACTCGGCAGAGTCTTGGTCTTTATGGAGAAAAAAACTCCTCAGAAAAAAAGAATTTTCATCTTCCCAGCTCCATCTGCAACTGCTCAGAGAGGAGCATCCCAATTTGTTCTGCTTCTTTAGGTTGGCACAGCCACAGCTCTTGGATCCACAGCATCCAAACCAAGCACAAACTCTGAAGACATTTCCCCCCCTTCCCGCCACACTTTAAAATAAACCTTCGCTGTTTCATTGTTCCCATGACCCCTCCATCCCACTCCGCTCAGGAATGTCGGGATTCTCGATGTCCTCCTTCTTCTTGGGGTGGTTTTAGTAGAATACACTAATTCTATAAATAATAAATCATGCAAAAACAAATCATTTATTATCCAATTAAAGGCGAGCAAGAAGTGAACTTTCGGGAAGCCGGCAGACTGGGGAGCCCACGTAGAGACTGGGTATTGTTTTATTCACCATCAGCCAATTTTTCATGGAAAAGTAATTAATGTGAAGGATTATTTTACAAAAAGCGGGGTGGGTTTTTACCCCAGCCATAAGACGTGATGGAAGGCCCGTGGTATTTGTATAATGCGGGCGGAAATCTCACATTAATGCGCCAGCACCGCTTTTTTTATGCTTAATTCCAGAAGTAAAGCGGGCCCTGAGCGACCATCCCTTACCCCGCTCCCCCCAACTTCGCCTTCGAGGCCTTTTGAGCCCTCAGCGCCGCCGTAGCCGCCGCGCGCGCGCCGGAGGGGGCGCGGCCAACCCGGGGGCACCGCCCCCTCTGTGTGACGTAATAGGGGGCGTGGTCTAGTGGTTGGGACATCACTACTCGGAGGGGCGGGCATGGGGGGGGGTGGGCGTGGTGGTGACGTCATGGGCGAGGAGAGAGTGATGGGCGGGGCGGCGGTGACGTCACGGCGCGGCGTAGAGAGAGCGGGAATGCGGGAGGGGATGGCGGTGACGTCACGGCGGGCGGGTTAAGGCGGTGATGGCGGTGACGTCACGGCGGGCGGTGATGGCGGGCCCGGGCCGGCCGCTCCCGTCAGGGGCCTCCTCCAAGTGGGACATCCGGGAGAAGGTGTGGGAGCACCTGGAGGCCTCCGGGCTGGCCGAATTCCCGCGGCCCGTGCGCGGCCGCATCCCCAACTTCAAGGTACGGCGGCTGCCGGCGCTGGGCCGCCTCCTCCTGCTGCTCCTTCCCTCCCCGCCTCGGGCCCGGCCCGGGAGGGACCCCCAGTTGTCCCCAGTTCCCCCCCAGTTATCCCCAGTTTCCCCCCCAGCTCCCTGGGCCAGCGCCTCGCAGCTCTCAAAGGAAAGAAAGCAAAACCACCGTGTCAATTATCCAGACCCAGAATGGTTTGAATTGGAAGGGAACTTAAAGCTCACTAAGCAGGAACACCGTCCACTATCCCAGGTTGATTCAAACGCTGTCCAACCTGGCCATTCCCAGGGATTAACAAAAGATTATCAGCCCCTCAATTAAAAATCTGCGGAAATCAGCCTCTCTGGAGGGTGACAGGTTCTGAATTGCCCATCCGTGCTGTGAGCTCCTGGGTGATCCGCTGATATTTTATGCAAACAGGGCGCCTCCCATGCTGCCACCAGGCTCCTGGGCTTGCAGGCGTTCCAGGCTGCCTGTACAGTAAAAATAAACCCCGATGCTCCCCAGAGGAACGTCCGTTTCCTAACGCTGGAAGTAAGTGCAGATATCTCCTCTTGGCTCCCTCCCTGTGGCAGGGCTCTCTGCAGGCCTGCTGCTCTCTCAGGGGGCTGGATGTGTTCAGCAGAGCGCGGGAGGTGAAGGTGGATCCTGACAAACCTCTGGAAGGTGCCCGGCTGGCGGCTCTGCAGGTAACCTTGGCACCCCCGAGGAGGAGCTGGGAGGGGACGGCAGAGCCTGGCAGCACCTCAGCAACACCTGGCACTGCATCTTCAACAGTTTTTCTGTGTCATGGAATGGTTTAGGTTGGAAGGGACTTGATTTTGTCCCATGGGCAGGGACACCTTCCACTGTCCCAGGCTGCTCCAAATTCCAGTGTCCAGCATGGCCTTGGGCATTTCCAGGGATCCAGGGGCAGCCACAGCTGCTTTGGGCACCCTGTGCCAGGGCCTGCCCACCCTCACAGGGAGGAATTTCTCACTAATATCCAATCTAACCCTGCTCTCTTTCAGTTTAAAATTATTATCTTTTATAAACCTATCTAGAGACATCATTTTAAAGAAGGGGATGTGCTTAAAGGTATGTCCCCAAATATTTTCAAATGTATGTCTTAGCTTTTCTTTCTTCAATAACCTTTTTTAGGGAATTTTTCTGCAATGGAGGAAATTAATCTTGCAAACACAACACAACAAATTAAATATTTGCCCACGTAGTTTTTACTGTATGACAATAAAAATATTTCTCCAATGTATCATGAACCTTTCTGTGGTTCCCTAGGCAAGGAAGACTTTGCTGGTTCCCACACCACGTCTGAGGACTGGACTGTTCAATAGGATTGTTCCCCCTCCAGGTGCAACCAAGGAGATCCTGAGAAGATGTGCCACGTCTCAGGTGAGAACGAGGGATGAGGGAGGGCTCAGGTAAATTCTGGGACAGTGTGGGGTTAGGATGAACCAGCTAGAAGCTGGAAAACCTGAAATATCTTCCTGTTAGGATGTTATTCCTGGGTTTGTGTACAAAACTGCCATGGATAATATTGAAATCGGGAGAAGATTTAGTCTTAACTGGACAGAATTGATACTTCTGAGTGTTTTTTGGAAAATCATGAGCGACTTGAGGCGAGTTGGATCTTTCTTCACGCTCCTACATTCTGCACTTTTGAGCTGCTGAATCCTCCGGAGAATATTTTAGTGCTCTTAGGTGTTAGCAGATAGGAAAGATGAGGGTTTTTTTTTAAATCCAACATCCAAAGCACCGTGAATTGTGGCATTTGCGTGCAGTGAGGCCCGGACACGTGGTGAGGTTTGATTTTGCAGCGTGGTCTCTTGCTGCCCTCTCGCGTTACAATCTCACTGTACAGCTGAAAGCTCTGGCCGGAGAACCCTGGCAGGTTTTATATCCCTCTTTATTTGCCTTGAAAACCCAACTGGTACAGCATGAAGAGGTTACTATATGGATTTATTTCCTCCTTTATCTCCTGCTAAAGGCAATAAAGTTGTGCCCAACCCCATAAACAACTGAGGTTGTAAATGGCTGGTAATTAGTAGTGACTTTCTTTGTTGGAAGTTCTATTGGAGTCATTAACTAATTAAGCTGTTCAGGGCTGAAGAGCACTTTTGAAAGAGACCTTTCTCTTGGCCTGCTGTCTGATCTGGGCTCTTACCACCCTGTGTCTGGTTTTTCCCCCAGCCCACTAATGAAGAAATGCTGTTGGCAGTTTGTGTTTACAAAGCACTGTGCAAACAATCCTTACCACACTGCTGGGAAGTGCCTGGTGGGCATTAGTGCTGATAGTCAGCCACAAATTGCTGAATTCTTGGGGTTTGTGCTCCTCACAGAAAATGTTGGGCTCTTTATTGTGATTTTAATATTGTTAATTTATGATTAGCACCGAGTTGAGTTGGTGTTAGGAGCATTTGCAGTGTGCTGTACACATATATTGGCAGTGATTGAATCACAAGATGTATTTTTAATAGTTCTGAGCCTCTGATATTTAAAAACCCAAGTAAACATAATTTCTGCAATCTGGAGAGAATTTTCATTAAGATGAGAACAGATTGAAGAGGAGTGGGTGGGGATGAGCAGGGAGAGAGGGCAAGAAAAAAATAATTGCATCACTTTGTGTAACTTCAGATTTCTTTGTGCTGTAGCAGTCTGTGTCTAAATTAACTTTGTGATTTGTATTTCAGAATTAATTGAAGCATTTGTAGTGCTCTGGTATTCCTCAAGTTTTTAGTAGAGTAGGGAAGTGTAAATAGGAAGTGTCACTTGTCCTCATTTTTGGGACCAGATTTCCAAAAAAGTGTTTCAAAATATCAGGTTTGGATCCTAAATAAATAACCTTGCTTCTAAAAGTGCCCACCTCCCTCAGCTTTCCTTGCAGTGTGCCAAAATTCTTGTCACTGTAGTAGGGAATCTATTCTAGGATTCCCTGGGGGATAACTTCCCAGACATGTACAGCTTGGCTAAACATGGAAGAGACCCTTGGAAACGTGGGGAGTTACTTGGATTTATCAAAATATCCTGGATTTTTGCCTCAGTGCTTGGAAGACTGTGTACTCTGCAAACCTCAAATGCTCCTTTTTTTTTTTTTTTTTTTTTTCCTGCAGGGTGTAAAAGACTACAGCGTGCCTGTGGGGCTGGATGGGAAAGCACAAGTGGATTTGGTTGTTGTGGGATCCGTGGCTGTCTCTGAAAAAGGTAAGGAAAAACTTCCAGCAGAAAGGTCCTAATGAATGTCAGGAAGGCCACACCACGTGGCAGAGACAGATTTATCCTTGGAGCTGAGTTGTGGTCTTGGGTTCTGCCTCTGTGTGTGACAAATCCCTGCTCCCTGTCCCAGCAGGAAGCAGCCATGCTCCAGGATGCACTGGGCACACAGCACAGGGCTCAGAGATGGTTTGGCTTTCAGGAAAACTCTTGAGGCAAGCAATTATTTGTGTTTTAAAGGAATCCAAGCAGGCTGCCAGGTCAGAGATCTGCTCTGCTCACACAGGCTGATGTGTTAGACTTGCTGATTCAGTACCTATTTGGGGATCAGATTTTGCATTTTCTAGTGTTTTGGAAATCTGCTGGTGCTGAAAAATTTTCCACTGACTTTATCCCTTGCCTAAAATAACACAGTTTTTGTGTGTGACCCAGACTCCTCTTCACCCACATTAACCTGTGTTGGACATAAATAGAAGGTTCTAAATACAATTGCTAAATAAACTGCTGTGTTGACTGCATTAAATTTGTTTATTCTGAATGGGAAGCTTCTAGGGTCTTTTAGTAGTCATTGAAACTGATGTTTTGTTTCATTTCAGTGCTGATTTCAAGGAAAGTTGCACTCTGTGAGAGATGCTGATCTGATTTTTTCCAGAGTTACAACTTGCAGACTGCTGAGTTAATTACATGATTTTAACAACAACTTTCCACTCTGCTATTTGGTTTTTTTTTTTTTTCTGCTTTTCTGTGCTTTAGGCTGGAGAATTGGCAAAGGGGAGGGTTATGCAGACATGGAATATGCAATGATGGTGTCCATGGGTGCAGTGCAGGAGGACACACCTGTGGTTACCATCGTGCACGACTGCCAGGTGAGTTCAGATGTTCAAATATCCCCTCTCCAGCAGAGGGGGAGCTCTGGGACATTTCCTGCTCTGTCTGGAGAGGAGACATGGAATGATGCTGGTTTGGCATCTTTATTCCCATTGTCTTTGATGGATTTTCATGTGACAAGACATCAGGAATGGGGCACAGTTTTAGGAAATTTGTTTTTAGCTATTTAACCAAATCTCTGCCTTGTAGGTGCTGGACATAGCAGAGGAGCTCCTGGATGATCATGATTTAACTGTGGATTTCATCCTCACTCCAACAAGGACTATCCAGACTAATTGCAAACGACCTAAACCTCAGGGAATAATGTGGCACAAGGCAAGTCCCATCTTAATTCAAGTTAAATCTTAAACCTTTGCAGCTGGTGGCTTACTGGTACCAATAACCTGCTGCTAACCCCCCCCCCCATTTTTATATATAAACGATTTTTTTAAATTAGAAATACTTGAGAAAAGAGCAGATGTGTTTGTCAGATGAAAAAACAGCAGCGTCTGTGTGCAGTGGGGTTTAAGGGGTAATGGTGGGGAGGAGATATTTCCCTACATCTGAGGTGGCTGCCCCATCCCTGGAAGTGTCCAAGGCCAGGCTGGATGGGCTTGGGGCAATCTGGGATAGTGGGAGGTGTCCCAGGGGGTTGGAACTGGTGGGCAGAAGTCTGTGCTGCTCCGGTTGGGAAAGGAAAACAAAAGCTGCTGGTGGAACATTTCTGTTTCTATAGTGGATTCACTTTCCAAGGATAAATTTGCTGCTGGAGCTCGTTTTCAGGTAGAAGAACAGCAACTTCAAACATGAACCTTTATTTACTGGTAGTTCCTCTATTATGGATTTGGCCTTTTCCCCCTGCCCAGTATCTGAAACTTCCTCAGCTTCCCAAATTGTTTCAGAAAAGCCTTGAGTGAATTGTTTTACTGGAGATTCCTGCTGGGAAAACTTTGTCATTGGATTTTCATTTGTAAAATCATCCAGTTAGGGAGCAGACACAATCCTGCATGAGTGAGTCCAGCAGGAATGCTGAAATGAGGAATTGTGCACCCACATCTTGCAGAAACTGAGGAATTTCAAGGGAATACTCCCAGGAAAATCAAAAGTTGTGGTTTAAAATTTGCCAACCAGCAAAAAGAGTTAAATTTCTTTAGGTAACGTATCTACAACAAACAAATTCTTGCCAGGACTATTTTTATTCTAGTGGTGGGGAGAGCATTTTGCCCTGCCTGTGGTTGAGGATTTGAGGTTATAAATAAATAAATAACAGCTCTGTCTGTCCTAGTGCATTTTTTCCATTTAATTATTTTTGAATTGTAATTTTTTTTAGGATATTATTGAATGTAATTGTGTTGAAGGCCTGGCCCTTGTGCTCAATCCATCTTGCCAACATACTTTTGATCAGTTTGTCTGCCTTGGTGTCAGACTTCTCAGTAAGTGGCCTTGCTGACTCTTCTTTATTTCTTTTTCTGTGCCTTTAGCAAAAACTGCATTTTCTGCAGCTTTCACTGAGAATGGAGCACAGATTGACTCTTTATTTGAATATTTGTGTGCTGATTTAACACCTCAAGAAGTGTGGATTAAATAAGAATATTGGAGAAGACCAGGCAGAGAAGGGAGGATCATCACTTTTCTGTCTTTTATGGAGCAGAACCAAGTGTAGTGTCCATATGAAGAAGAAATTGCCATTATTCCCCGGGGAAATGAGTGACATTTATTTTGTTTGTGCCTGTGGTGGTACCTGGATGTTCAGCTCTTGCAGAGGGGTTTTGGAGGTGGGAGGTCTGGTTAATCACCAGGATGTGAAAATGGCAGCATTTGATAGGGGCTATTTAAGTGTTTGTCCTTTGGATTTTCCTGGCTGCTTCTCCATCATTTTCTCTCCAGCCTTTTCTCCTTCAAATCCTGGCTTTGCTGGTGCATTCCTGTTCCTCAGAGCAAAACTAAATGAACCAAGAGGCAGTGAGTAAATAAATCATCCACTTCTAACCACGGGGTTTTGTCAACAGAGAGTAGCTTAACTTCATTGTGAAGACCTGTGAGGTGGAAAATAGATTGTAAAGAAAAGTTGATCCTTGGGAAGCAGGGCTGGATCAGGCCAGCACAATGTTTAGGAGTTTGAAATCCAGGTGTTTGCAAATATGGGATTACAGCTAAGGATTGCTGGAAGGATGTGCTGCCAGTAATGCCCACTCTGGGTTTGCAGTTGCAGAGGGAAGGAGGTGCTCACAAATCCCTGGCTCCATTTCCATGCTGAAGGAGGTGCTGCGTTTTCCTGGAGTGCTCTTGTGTGTTTTGTGCTGCTTAAAGACTTTCAAAGAAGAACCACAATATCATCAATACCAAAGAATCATTATCAAGCACTCTAGAAACACTTCTAAATCCACAGTGCTGGGGGGTGTTTGTGGAAGTTTTGTGCCTCTGAGGTCAGAATTTTGGGACATGAGTTTGAGTTACTGGAGGGCAGCAAGAGCTGCTGAGAGCTGAGCACTCTGGAAAACTTTACTTGGATGTCAGTAGAGAATTATTTGGCTTCATCTGTCTTGAAAATCCAACCCATTGTTTCTGGGAACTCTAAATTCATGAAGCTACTTGCTTTCTTATTTAATATTTTCTATGGGTAACTGTGATCTTTATCTGGAGCACTGGCTATTATATTTGTCCCAATTATCAAGTTATTTGTGCTGTGCTTATTTTGAATTGAAACTGTACAGACAAATTAAAATATTTGGGTTCATGAAGAGGGAAATGAGAGTAGTTGGTGGAAAAATCACTATATTTTAGCAAGCATTTCCTTCTGGTTTTGAAATAATTCTTTTGCTGAGAATTTTGTAGCAGTAGGAAAAGAATTTTCCTGAAATAAATGAGCTGGGGGGGGGGGAATCCCAGTGGCAGAGATGGAAACCCTCTGACAACAAACAGCTTTGATTTGGAGCTGTGATAGAATATTTGGAAAGCTGAAAAAATGCACCCATCCAAGCTGGCAAACCCTTTAGGAAATTGCAGTGAGTGTAGCCAAGACTTTTTGGGATGTTTTTTGGGCTAGTGGGAACAGGGAATACTTCCACACGTGGTCACACATCTCAACACCTTTGCAAAGTCCCCACTCTGTGCAGAGTCCCCAGACTGCAGCTGGCACGGGTGGATTCCAAGTGTGGCTTCTCCTGAGGGACACCAGCAGGCTCCAGGCACTGCCAGCTCCCAGAAACATGCCCTTGGCTCGTGTGCACATATTTGGACATTTTGTGCAAATGAAAGATAAAATATTCAGCTGTGCTGGCCTTGTCTGTGCCACACATTCCTGTTTGCTCAGAGCTCCTGGACACGAGGACACAGAGTGAAAAGTGGGGTCTGTCCTGGGAATCCTGAACAATCTGGGGTCAGAGCCCTCTGAGGATGGGCAGAGATGAACCTTGCACACATCTTCTGCCCACCTGTTTGGAAGAGCTGGTGGATCAGTCTCCATCTTAAAATCATGGAATGCTTTGGGTTGGAAGGGATTTTAAAGAAAATCTTATTCTGAGCCCCTGCACACCTTCCACTGTCCCAGGTTGCTCCAAGTCTCATCCAGACTGGCCTTGGGCACTTTCAGGGATCCAGGGGCAGCCACAGCTTCTCTGGGCACCCTGTGCCGGGGCCTTTCCACCCTCACAGGGAACAATTCCTTCACTATATCTAAACTGAATTTTCCCCTCTTCCATTTTGAGGCCATTTCCCTTGTCCTGTCACCTCTCCAGCTTCCTTGTAGCCCAGTCAGATGCTGGAAGGTGCTGGGATGTCTCCAGGCTGAACAGCCCCAGCTTCCTCAGCCTGTCCCCACAGGGGAGGTGTCCCAGTGCTCCTACCAACTTCATGGCCTCCTCTGGATTGATCCAACATTCCATATTTTTTCTGATGCTGGGGACACCAGAGCTGAGTATGGGATTCCAGGTGGGGTGTCACAAGATGCAGGTGTTGCTGTGTCAGTGAGATGAGGAGCTGTGTGAAGCAGAATGAAATAGCAGGATAAGGACAGCTTCCAATCCTATCCCATCCAATCCAATCCCATCTGCCCTTCCCTGTCTCCTCACTCCAGGATTGCTTCCAGGGAATTCTCAGTGCTGTTTGCCTTGGCCTGGGCTGGCTCAGGGGTCAGCATTACTCACTCTGACAGAGGACAAACACATCCTTCATCCTCCCCAGCACAATGTTGAAAGTGGCTCTGCTCAGAGCTGTGTGGGAGCAGGGGCTGAGGAGAGCCCTGGTGTTCCAGCAGGGATGGTGCAGGACTCCATCTGCCACCACATTTCGGGATCAAACCAGGTCTCCTAGCAATGGATGCTGCGGTGAAGTGCTGGGAGATTTGTGTTGGCACTCAGCATCCAGGACTTTTTTCCTCAGGTTTCTGTCAGAAAGGGGCCACGTTTTCCTCCTCAGCTCCTTTCCCAGTAATTGTGTGCCAGAAGAATTTATCCAGCCTGCTGTCCTCTCTCCCCAAGGCTCTCCCAGCCATGGCAGGGAGTAGGCAGGATTATTAAATGATTAATTGCCATTGGTGGAGTTATTTTTAACCCAAATCGCTTCAGAGTTTGTGGCAGAGACCCACAAACACTTCTGTTGGCCAACCCCAGAGGGCTGAAGTGTGGAATTGGTCTGGGAATTGGTGCTCAAGGGATAATAGGAAACTTCTTCAGCGTTGGTTTCGCTACCAAAGCTAAATCCCAACACTCGATCCAAAGTTTAAAAACATCAGTAAATGGTTTGGCTTTGGCTTTAGAGCAATGGGGGAAGCTTCCAGTGCTGGGTTTGCTGATGTTCACATAGCTGGGTCAACCAGACTTGGGCTGGAACGTCCCTTAAATTCTGGCTTAGCCTAAAGCAGTCGGGAGGGACAGGGATAAGCAAGGCTGGGGAGGACTGAGCAGCCAGCACAGCACCCAGAAGTGTGCAGCTTGTTTGAAAGAGAGGAGGAATATCTTTGGCCTCTCTCCACATGGAAATAAATCCTTGCAATCCTCCACAGCTCACAGGACAAAAGGAACTTTTTGCATGATTGTAATTAGCAACACATTGTACTACCACAGGGTTCTTTTGTTTGCTCTTTTGCAACAGAGCAGAACAAGCTTTTTCCTCTGCCCTGCCACCCGCTGCCCCCTTTGCCCTTTTAGTTCTCACCCCCAAAAACCCAATGGATTTGTTTGTTGAATTGAAACCCCAAATCAAGTTTCTGCCTTTCTGTGGCATAAAAGTGGGAGAAAATAGGGAAGGGTTTAGGTTTGACCCAGCTGAAATGTCAACCTCGATCCCAGAGAAAAAAGCCCTTAAGGTGAGTCCTCTGTGCCTCTTGTGACAGGAGAGTGTCAGCTGACAGTGCCAGGACTTGTCTAATGTTTTTTACAAATCTTTGCTAATACAAAAACATCCAAGTCCTAAAGCAGCTGTCTTTGTTGCTTTGATACTCTGAAGATTTGTTTCTGTTGTGTCTGCACAGGGCTGGATTTTAAGGGAATTGCAGAATCACTTCATGGTGGTGTTTGATCAGAACTTAAAAGAAAATAGTTCATAGCCCTTACAAAAATCCCAGAATCATTGAGGTTGAAAAAAAACCCAAAATCATCAAGTCTAACCTGTGACTGATCCCAGACCAGGCAACTGAGTGCCATGTCCTGTCTTTCCTTAAACACCTCCGGGGATGAGGATTCCACCACCTCCCTGGGCAGTAATTCCAATGTCTAATCCCCCTTTCTGTGCAGAAATTCCTCCTAAAACATAACTGCTGTTGTCACTGCATCTCCCTGAGCTTACCAGGAGCCTGAAACAGTAGCTCCAAGAGTTGCAGTCTGAGGCCAAAATCTACTTAGGGAGAGGAGATGCCTGGTGGAAGTCTCTTCAAGATTGTGCTGTTCCCTGGATTATCTGAATCCTGCCCTTGGATCGTCCTTGAAAGCCTGGGAATTCCAGAGTTTATCCTCTCAGTGCCCATCTCTGATTGCCCTAATCTCCAAAACCCTGAGGGTTTGCCCTTGGTAGCATTTCCCTTTCTAACCAAACACCCAAGCCATGCCTTGGCAACTGAGTTTAATTTCAGGATGAAAGGAACTGTTCTTGGGAAGAGGTTGAGGTTGTGCTTTGGGGCCAGGAGTGATTGGTTGCATGAGAACAGAAAAATGTTTTTCCTGTTTGGTTTAATTAGCATAGAGCTTACATTTCACATCAAAATTTGACAGAGGACAACAAATGTTCTTAATTGTTGGCCAGGACAAACAAAGTGAGATCCTTCAGCCCTTGGTTTGATGTTGTATCTATCACTCAGGGAAGGGGAGTTTGCTGTCAAACACAGCACTTGGAATTCTTGGCTGAGAAAAACAAATCAGCCCCAGAATCCACAGAGTAATAACTTTGTAAAATCTGAAAATGATCTGCACCTTTCTGAGCGTGGAGGCTCCTGGAGCAAGTCCCCAGAGCAAGTCCTTGCTGTTTGATGTTGTGTTAGCAGAACTAGCACAGGCTTTATGGAAGTAGTATTTTTATTTAGTTCTAGCCTGAAATAAAACCTTCTTGCTTGCTCTTCAGAAGATGAGCCCTGGAAGCATTAAGAGAATTCTGTTGAGTGACTTTCCTCTCACCTCATCCTGACATTGCCCCTGCCCTGGCTTGGCTTCTCCTCGAGTCACTTCAGAGCTGGGCTCCTGTCCCCAGAAAGCTGAGCTTGATGTTGTGCAGATCCAGACTGGCTGTGACTGTAACTGTAGGAGCAGGAATTCAGAGGCTCTGGGATGAGTGAGGTCTGAGCTGGGACATCTGCAGGCGTGTGCTGCCTGGGATGTACTGGTGCTGCTCCAGTCCAGCCTGCTGAGTGTGCTGCCCTGCCAGAGTGGCCCACTCACATTCTGGGCTACTAGCCTGGGTCTCTGCTAGCTCAGGCATTGCTTCCCCAGGCTGTTTTGCTCCCTAAATTTCAGCATTGGATCTGGTGTTGATGGATGTTGGACTTGTCCAGCAGCCAAGCAGGAATTCCTCCTCCTTCCAAGCACAGTGTGCAAGCCAAGAGCTCGACCACATTAGCTGGGGAACCACTGCATTTCCTGCCAGTGCCTGAGTGCAGCCTGGGGCATCTCATGCCTCACACGGATGGGGTTCAGCTGTTGAGAGGAAGAGCCCTTCCAGAAAAGCTTTTTGGGAATAGGGCATGGATGGAAGGAAGGATGGATGGAAGGAGTAACAGGCTCACAGTGTGAAGTGCAGTGTCCGAGCTCTTCTGTTCCCTGCCCCAGCCCAGCAGATCCGTGTGGCATCTGAGGAGCTGTGGGTGGTGTGGGAGGTCAGATGGCACAGAGGGGATGTGCCCCAAGCAGGGGATGTGCCCCAAGCAGGGGATGTGCCTCCAGCTGGGCCCACATCCATAGGAGCCCTGCTCCAAGGCACGCTCCCACTGCAGCTTCCACCATTGTGTGACCCAGCCCACGGGATATCCTGTTCTGGGGGAAAAGAGCACCAGGAGCTCTGCAGAATGGAAGTGTCTGGTGGATTGGGATGGATTGTGCCAGGGCAGGGGATTGGGATGGGTTCTGCCAGGGCAGGAGCAGTCAAAGCAAGCACAGAGGTCAAGGAAAACGCAAATCTGAAAGCACTGAGATAAATAAATGTCAAATTGGAATAGTCCTGACTTTGGTTGGGATTTGCCTGCTGGATCCACGTTGTGCTGCTCGCTTCAAGAGTCACTAATGTTTATTTTTGTCCTGCAGTGTGTATTTAGGGAGAGACTTCCCAATCAGGCCAGCAATTAAGAACATTTGGAATGCTCTGGCACTCTGCGTGGCAGCAGGATAATAAGGTTCCTCTCTTTTTATGGCACAGATGAGCCCTGATGCTCATCATCTTTTTCTGGAAGGCAAGGAATCCTTTTATAATTCTATCCATCTTCCTCCTTTTTAGGTCAGCTCTGAGATGCTGGGAAAAATCCCCATCCTAAAGACTCTTCGAAGCAGGGAGAAGCAGGCTGGCAAGGATGTCACCCTCCAAGATGAACATCCAGCCTTGGCAAACACCAACAGAGCAGCAATTTCAAACAAGAAGGTGATGGCTGCAAATACCCAACCATGGGCTGCTCCAGTGGGACAACCCCATGTGGAAAGTGATCCTGTAAATCCCAAATTGGAGGGATGTGACACAATTACCACTGTGTATGTGGGGAACCTTCCTGGCAGCCTGAGAGTGAGCGAGCTGAAAAGTGCTCTGAGGGAATTGCAGGTGACTCCTGTTCGACTGAGCTGGCAGGGAGCACAGCACAGAGCTTTCCTGGATTACAGGGATCCAGAAACTGCAGACAGAGCTGTGTCCTCATTGCAGGGCCTGAGCCTTGGGGGCAATGCTCTGAGAGCAGAGCTGGCCAAGAACCAGAGGAACAAAAGGCAAGGAGAAATCAGTAGTCACAAATGAGTATGGAGGAGAAAAAAAAAAAAAAGCAACAACAAAAAAAGGTGTTTTCATTGTTTTGTGAGAAGCCAACCTGAAGTTTTAAGCTTTTTAGTAACCCTCAGGTTTAACAAAACCAAATTTCTACACAAACTTTCCTGACTCCTGCACTTGGACATGCAAAGGTTTGTCCCCACAGGTGACAGAGGAGCCATTTCTCTAGAAACAATTGTCCACAAAGTACCCACACTGGTTTTGGTGCTATTTGGTGTTTTTGTTAAGCCTGGGTTAAAACCCTGCTCCTTGGCACCTGCAGCAAGGTGGTTCCAGTCAGTCATTTAAGGTTAGACCTGCCTCTTTATACCTGTGAGGGTAAAAGCCAACAGCAGGAAATCTGTCCTAGGGGAAACAATTTTGTTTGTTAAAAAATGCTTTTTGCCTGTTGGGAGTTTTAAATTAATTTTTTATAAAAATGGCCAGAGAGAGAGAGAGAGATTTTCTGTTTTGTGCCTTGAAGAATGGCTGTGGAAACACTGCCTTAGTTCTAGTAAGAGCTGGAAACATCAGGTGGGAAAGATGGGAACCCTTTTCTGAGCTTTTTGCTAAACCAGCCCTTGGTAAACCTTAAATTTCTTTTTTTCAGAGGAAAGCAAATCCCAGTTTTCTCTGTTTTCCCCCAGAACTGCCTTTCTGATGGATCAGATAATTATAAAATAGCTGCTTTTCCTGATTGTGTCTTATAATGGGATATGATTCCTTTGCCTCTGTGAAATAACATTATTGTTATTACTATTATTACTATTTTATTATTATTGTTGTTGTGGAAAGCAGAAACACCATGGTCAGAACTTGTTGGTGCTTAGTCTGGCATGGAGTTCTTTGGGAATTTGCTGGAGATTGTGCAAAGCCTCTGTGCCTTTGTCCCCATCCCTGATGGTGTAATGGCCAATAATGACTTATCTGCTATGGCTCTTATTCCCTTTTTTTTTCCCCCTTGGGTTTACTATTCCTGAAAAACAAGTTGAATTTTGACCCAGCCATCCTTTCTAAACAGAAGCACTTTTGCCAGTGATGCTGGGCACATAGTCAAAGTAAGCATCTAAATGGATTTTTTTTTTTAAAGTAAGAGTTGGAAACTTTTTTTTTTTAGCCAGGGAGTACTGTTAGGTATATTTTAAGCAGATTATTATGCCTGGAGGGTCAGACATTTATTCAGTATTGTATAAAAAGTTCTCATCATGTGGCTATGTAGGGAAGGGCTCAAGGAAAGCTTTGGAGCTGCATCCAGCCCTGGGATCCCAGCACAGGAAGGACATGGAGCTGTTGGGCAGAGTCCAGAGGAGGCACCAGGAGGAGCAGAGGGATGGAGCAGCTCTGCTGGGAGAGAGAATTGGGATTGTTCAGCCTGGAGGAAGGAAGGCTTAGGGCTGAGCCCATTGTGGCTTTCCAAATGGAAGTGACTCCTCCTCTCGATGGAGAGAGACATTGGACAGGGGGGAATGGCTTCAGAGATGGGATATTAGGGAGAAATCCTTCCCTGGGAGGGTGCTGAGGCCCTGGCACAGGGTGCCCAGAGCAGCTGTGGCTGTCCCTGGATCTCTGGAAGTGTCCCAAGGCCAGGCTGGACAGAGTTTGGAGCAGCCTGGGACAGTGGAAGGTGTCCTTGTTCACAGCACAGGGGTTGGAACAAGATGATCTTTGCAATCCCTTCCAACCCAAACCATTCTGTCATTCTGTGAACTTCTTGTTAAGTCAGCAAAGGATCTGGAAAAAATCAGTGGTTCCATTCCTTGTACAGCTCCAAATGATTTCCAGTATCACTGAGTCCAAATTCAGACAAGCACTGCACAACCCTCTGGGTCTCATTTCAGGGCTTGTGCATTCAAGGCTGAGAGTCAGGGTTGTGTTACTACCCAAACACACTCCCTGCATCATCAGCTTCCAAAGCAGAGGAAAGAAAAGCAAAAAAATAATTATCCAACCCTGCCTGCCTCTTCCAAATGATGGCAAATTGAGTAATGGGATCATTTGCTGTTCTTTTGACTCTGGGATATTTCTTTTTCAGCTGAAGATGTCCAGGTGACCTTAGCAATTAAAAGCCAGTGACTCTGCCAATGAAAACTTCCATCATCTCAAACTTCCCCTGTTGCATTTCAGGTGGAACCACCCTTTTCTGGTCATATTTGTGGGAATCACACCCTCTACCTTCTTTCCTTTCTTCCCATCTGAAGTTTCAGTGCAGATGTGTTTATGTGTTCTGTAAATGTGGTAACTTTGCTTGCTTTCCTGTCAGTCCAGCCTGCAGCCAGGGGCCAGTTTTGTTTGGACAAACATCTGGATGTTTTTCTGTTTGCAATTGAGGTTCTGGGTGAAGCCCACAGGTGAGCAGTGTCCAAAATCTTGGCTCTTTCCAACCTGTCACTTCTTTCTGTCATGTGTTTCAAGGCCACATTTCACTTGATTTACCCAATATCCAGAGTTAAACTCTAAACCATGCTATGAGGAGATGCTAACCAGGGGTATGCAAATATGAAATCAGGAGGAATTTCTTTATGCAAAGGGTTGTCAGGAATTGGATGGGGAGTGCCCAGGGAGGTGGTGGAGGTGTCCCAGGAAAAACTGGACATGGCACTCAGTGCTCTGGGCTGCTGGCAAGGTAAAGATGGGTCACAGATTGGATTTGATGATCCTGGAGCTCTTTTTTAACTTTTATGATTCTATCAACTGCAGTTAAGAAGAAAAATAATTACTGTAAGCTTAAGCTTATTGGCATTTTGAATGGACTGGAAAAATGCTGCAGTGATCCTTGTATTTTTGATCCAGATTATTAATAAATGTCAAGGTCTTTGAGGTCCTGCTATCTCAATGAATAAATCCCTCTCTGAAATCAGTGCAGTTCTACCTTGGAGAGTCTGGGAAGCAGGGGCAGGGATGGGGCTCTTGGGGCTGCTCCTCTCCAGCTAAAAGACATTTCAGTGCCAAACTACTGCTGAATTAAATTAAATTAATTAAACACTGGAGTGGCCAAGGCACAGCCCTGCGTGGCCTTCTGGTGTCTCCAGCTGTATGATGTGGATTTTCTCTTGTGGGATGACCCTAAAGGAAACAGCAGATTGTGTAGAAAAAGTGAATGGGGCAGGGCTATTGTTCCAGGCTCTCTGCATGCTCAGGAAGGCATCACTTAGAGCAAAGTCAGGAGGGATTTCTGTAAGTCCACAAAACTCTGAAATGCAAGAGATTTTATTGAATCCTTGGGTTCTGATCTCATAAGAAATCTCAAGGAGTTGAAGCCTGCTTATATTTTATATTGGCCCAGACCAAGGCTATGCAAGATACCAACAATCAAACCATAAAATCCATACCCTGAAATATTCTCTGACTGAATTAACAGCTTTGAAGGAGCACAATACTTGCTCAAGTCATAATTCCTCCTTCTGTACCTGCTGTAGCTGTGACCTGTGCACAAAGATACAAAATGTGCCTCATCTCAGGTGGGTCCTGGCCCAGTTTTACTGCTTAAGACTCCTCAGAAAATCATCAACAGTGTCAAAGCAGTGCAGAAAAGTCTGAAATGCTGCTGATAAATCTCTACTCTGCTTTGAATAGGGAGTGAAGTGATCCCTAGCACAGCCCTGGGTGCAGCAGCAGAGCTGTGTGATGAGAAGGAACGTTCAGCAGTACAATGGGAAATGCTTTCCTGAGCCAACTTTGTTCCCAGTAATTCAGACTGAGGGCTCTCTATTCTCTGCACAGCCCGATGTCCTCGCCTGTCATGTGGTTGGGCACATTCTTTCCAGCTCCTTTCATGGCACAGACATTTGGGATGCTGTTGTTGAGCTGTTGTTGCTGCTCTCCCCTCTTTTTGGGGAGTCTGGAATGAACCCCTGCAGCTGGGAGGGTTTGGGATCAGCAGTGACCACCAAGGTGTCCCATGAGGGACGTGACCTTCCCAGGACCATTCTCCCTTTCTCCCTACCCTCATTTGTGAGAGAAATGCAGAAGGAAAATCAGCATGGGATGGATGGAGCCTCCACCAGCTCCACCATGGAGAACAAGGTGATTTTTGGAGGGGTTTTTGTTGGAGGCTATCGGTGCCAGCGTGGTGTGTGGCACAGAGCAGCGAGGCAAGGCTGGAATCTGCTAACAATGAGGGCGAGGTGGCTCCGTGCCACCCCCAAAACTGCACAGGCATGAGGGTTTTCCTTCAGCCAGCCGTGTCCATGCATTTCCTGGAACAGGGACAAGGCCACACAGCTTCAAGCCACCAAAGACAACAGTAAACAAGCTGGGTTGCTGGGTAAGCTCTGAGTTACAAGAGTCAGAGACTGTTTGTTTCCAGGGAAGGAAAAAGGAGAGAAAAAAAATCTCTCACCATCAAGACTTTTTTTCCTGGATCTCACATCCAGGTCCACATCCAGCCCTCCAGCATCTCCCTGATCCCCTCCCAGCAAGCAGCCTGCAAGGACAGAGGCTTTATCCCATTATCCCAATAAAAAAAAAGGCAGGAAAGGGATGGTTAAACACTGTCTCCAAGTCATGCCTCTTTTTTTTTCTGTATGCTTTTTTTTTTAATTTCATCATCTTCTACTGCTCCAAAGGGAGAAACGAACGGCTTTTAGGGGAATGTTTCCATTGAAAAATCCAGCGCTGGGGCTGTGTTTTTTCTCCACGGGGATGAGGAGGGGGAGGAAAAGCGTGTGCAGGGATTTCTCTCGTTCCGGTTCCTCCGAAGGAACAGCCCCTCACAGCACTTCTGGCTCTGGAGGAAACATCTGTGGCCGTGGCCACGTTCCTTGGGCAAACCCCCCTGCTTGGGAGGCTGTTGTGTACCAAATACTTTGATTTCCTGGTTGCCATCTCTTAAAGATTATCTCCCTCCCAGAAAAGGGCAGCATTTCCCATGTTTCCATGTGCAATGTCCGTGATGGCTGCTATAAACATCATGGAACATTTCCCTGCCCCTCCTCTGACATAGGTAGCAAAGTCCCTGCTTTTCATCTTTCAAAGCCCTGAAGAAATGTTTAGGGTCGTGTATCCTGCCATTGTTCTGGGCTGGGCATCCCACTGAAGTGCCTGGGAGAAATGAGTTCAGGATATGGATCTATCTCTGGTCCATCTCTGCCGTGGCCCCAGGAACATCCACATTTTACAGATGGGAAGGCAGAGATGGCTCCTGATAGACTGGAGGCTACTGGTGATTCCCACCCCTTTGGAAAACAACAGCAGGACAGGCCAAAAACTCAGCAAAAGCTCTTAAAAAAAACCAGCCAAGCCACTGTTGGGCTCTTCTATGTGACAGAGCTGATGTTCCCAAGGGGCATTTTTTGGTACCTGGAGCATCGAGGTGGCTCTGAGAGCCTTTAATCCCACTGGTCCTCCTGCTCCAGAACTTTCCATCAAGGCACTCAGCACCTCCCAGGGGCAAACCACAGCTCCTGCTCTGGGAGACAAGGCACAAAAGAGAATTTTTTCACAGAATTTTCACAGAATTTTGCCCCAGGAACATGCACATTTTACAGAAGGGAAGGCAGAGATGGCTCCTGAGAAACTGGAGCCAACTGGGGATTTCCACCCCTTTGGAAAACAACAGGAGAGGCCAAAAATTCAGCAAAAGCTCTCAAAAAAACCCCAGCCAAGCCTCTGTTGGGCTTTTCTGTGTGACAGAGCTGATGTTCCCAATGGGCATTTTGTCTCCCAGGGAATACCTGGAGCCTTTAATCCCACTGGTCCTCCTGCTCCAGAACTTTCCAGCACATGCCAGGAACAAACCACAGCTCCTGCTCTGGGAGACAAGA